AGAAACAGTTGACCTGACCTAGTAAGAGCATGGAGACCCTAGTCGTAAAGCTGGGGAACCAGCATTGGACTGAACCAGGCTTTCTGAATATGGGTGCCAGTTGGGAGGCTTGGGCAGTCTATGGGACCTCTAACAGTGGAGCCAGTATTTGTCCTTAGTGCACTTGTGGACTTTGGGAGCCCATTTCCTATGGAGGGATGCTATTGCAGCCCAGATACATGAAAGAGGGCCTAGGCCCTCCTCCAAATGATATGACAGACTTTGATGGCCCCCCCCATGGAGGGCCTCACTATCCTTGGGGAGTGGGTGGGGGGTGGGTTGGGGAGGGTCAGTGGGAAGCATGGGATGATGGGAGGGCATAGGAATGGAAGGATTGATATGTAAAATAAGACTGTTTCTAAAATTTAAAAAAACATAAAAAAACAAAACATAATAATAACAAATAATAGGACATCAAGAAAAAGAAACAAGTGAGCAAGATTAGCATCTAGCTGATGAGTGTTTGCACTGGGGAAAAGCACATGGGGTACATGATAGCTCTCGTATAATTTTGAATACTAAACTTTCCATAGAGATTTTTAATCTATAGAAACACTAGGATTTTCACGAGGTAGAAGTCATAGGCTGGGTCAGGGATGAGGACTCCTCACAGACTTGCCCATCTGCCTTCTCCTTAGCCTTCGGGTTCTTCACACTCAGCCAATGGAGATGCTACACATGGCCTGCACTTTCCTACCATCTTGCCTTCCTTCTGCTCGCTGCACGCCCTTCCCTTACACACCGATTCCTATAATCAGTATCCACCTTAGCAAGACATGGATCAAAAGCGTCTGCCATTCAGTGCACTGGCTGCATGAGACAAGAGTCTCACCCTCTTCCTCACACCAGAATTTCCCTAGCACTTTTCCAGGACATGGCTTACCAGGCAATGGCAATAACCACGACAATGATAAGAATCACAATTGCATAGCTAATCTGTACTGACAACAGGGACCTTAAATACACCATCATGTCATCTTTACTATCTCCCCTGAGGCTCTACAGATGAAGATTGTAAACTCAGAGAGGCCCAAGAGATAAAAACATGGGTCCACTGTGATGTCATATGTATTTTATGCCTTTGAATCTATGGGACAAACTGTTTTACCCAAGAACCCATACACTTAATGGTTACCATGTTGGGTATGCCTGGTTCTATTGAACAGCACCCTTACTCCTAAGCGGTGACAGTATCTTTTTCCTATTCCATGTCCCACTCTGCTTGTCTAGTACAATGCATGGAAGATATTTGTGAGCCAAAGCTTACACTGACACAGGCATTTCTGAAGCTGGGGGGTGACGTGCCCACATCTTCTAATCCACCTGCTTGCCTTCAAAAGGAACCAAGGTAGAACAGTCAGCTGAGCTCTCTGCTCCCCGCCATCTCTGTTCATGAGTCCACAATACTAAAATGGTTTTCATCTTCTCCCTTTGCTGGCACTGTAAGTGACCAGAAAGAATTCTTTCCCAGGCTATTTTTACTTTGTCTCCTAGCTGTGGACTCCTTCCCTCGCCTTCTTCATAGCCCTTGCCCTTCAAGCCAGGAGGTAGACATAGAGTTTCAGACTCTGGGTGATGATTCCGGAAGCTGAAGCAGGGTTGGACAAGCATTTTCTCCTGCACATCCTTCTCTTATGTCCTTCTCTGGGCTTCCTACACTTGCTAGCTTTCTAACTTGCAATCTTAGCCCTGGGGAGGCAGAGAATCCTGGAGACTCACTGGCCAACAGCCTGGCCTAAACAAGCATGAGTGCACGCGCACACGCGCGCACACACACACACACACACACACACACACACACATGCACGCACGCACGCACCCTCGAGTGAACCCACACAAGCACACACACACAGGGATATCAATAATTCAGTTGTCATCATTTCCTTCTCCAAACCTTTCAACAACTCCCTCTAGCTGTACGTCTTTCCCTTCCAGGACTCAATTTTATGTTTTATTTCTACAAGAGTTTCACCCAGCCAACTTGTGAACCAACAAGAAACTGTCTAATGAGAAAATATGAATTCAAAACATCCATAAGAATTTCCTCTCACTGTAGCTCCTACAGTCCACAGCCCAATGGGCATTTCGTTAGGGGAGATGAGAAACCTTGCAATCCCAACATTTTTTTCTCCAGAGAGAAACTTAACAACCATAAAGGGACTGGCAATGGAATTGGAATTTGGTGCAAGTGCTGGTGGCCATGGCTAGCTCTAACTGCACTTCCTTCTTAGTTTTTGAATGCTATGTTCTTGTCAGTGTTAAGATCATACTAATTACCCACACTCGTTGTCTTCTTTGGTCATAGTTTGATTATGTAGGAGAGCCTCCTCTTACACACACACACACACACACACACACACACACACACACACACCTGCCTATGAAGAACTAGATGGTCACTGAACTGTTTATCACATAGGACTTATTTATCTAATCATTGGTCTTTATTGCCTTTCATTTTATAAATTAATTTAAAAACCATGATGAAATTGCCATGTTACCACCAAAGAAAGAATCTTGGCGACTAAGCCAAATATCTAGTCATATGTACAGTAAATTAGTGTGAAGGCACACATCACAGTTTGGGATCTAAATGGAAAAATCAATACCCTACAGGAACTCTCTAGTTGCACGGCAGAATCTACTACAGCCAATGCTGTCTTTGTTGGTGCCTTCTGATTACACACACTTGAGTATTCCAGGCATTGATTTTACTTTGCTTTTTTTTTGTAAGTTATTCAATATTCCTGCCTCTTCCAAGAAATGTGGGCTAGGGGAGGGGCACAGAGACATTCAGCCATCAATAATATAGTCAATGCCCTGTCTACCTGGCCTAGTAGACAGTTCTGTGGCCCAGGGGACAAGCCTCCAGCTGTGTGCATCTGATCACCCGGGGACTCCAAAGACCTCTGTCCTCAACACTTTTCTCACTCTCCCAACCAGCTGCTACTGTGGCTGAAGCTAGCATGGAAGAAGATGCCAGAACCACTCTTAAGCTAAAAAGGCACTTTGGAGTAGAGTTTTCAATCTTCCCCGCCAGGTTCCTTAAAAAAACCTCCTTGGAACTGTGGTAGGAAAGGAACTCCCATCTCTCAAGAATGAATAATTCCTTTGCAAGGAAGCCTAACTTCTCAGGCATTCACAACAGCCAGACACAATGCTGTCCTTGCAGCTGGCAAATACATCTATGCATACATATATACTTTTTACATTTCTCCTTAGAGAAGTAGGTTTACTTGTATTTTCTTTCTTCTTCTTTTTTAACCACAGGAAAGGATGTGGAACAAAACAAAGCCTCTCTGACAGCAACCACTCTAAGAGGAAAATTGTTCCAAATCTCTCAAAACTAGCGACACGGTCCTGCTGTAAGCCAGGTAATCACAATGCATTTACTTTCTCTAAAGGTATCTGGAGACGATGTTTGCTTTAAAAAAAAATTCCTTCAGTATACATTGAAGCACATTTACTTTCCAATACATAGGGAGGGATTAAGTGTGGTATATAGATCCTCACAATCTTTCTAAAAAGAACTAAGGCACCCTGAAAGCATTCTGATACCAAAACATCGTAAATGCTCTCCCCTTCTCACCCCTGGCAGTTACCAAGAGAGCTTTAAAAAACCAAGTGTACAGGGCTTCCTGCAGAATGGGTAATGCTATAGCAGACCCAGGCGTTTAAGAGCCCTCAAATAAAATATCAGGTGAGTTAAATTTTCATGTGAACGATTGCATTTATAAGCAGTGTGTCTGCCTGCAGGTTGATTGGTCAAGGGCACTGCACACACAGCCTGAGTGCTGGTATTGTGATTGTGCCTGCTGCGCTGCCTGGAGGAGGTTCTCGCTGTCCAATGCAGCCACTGTCACTAGAAGGGGAAGGTCTGTATTTTTCACTCTTCTCCTGCTCTCTGGCCACTTTGTTTCTAATAAACAGTTGGTGTCAGAGCCAAATCCAAAGGCTGGTGCACAAGGGAATTCCTAATTCAGAGATCTGGCAAAGCTCTATTCTATTTGGCCAAAAATCCAAACAGGAATTAAGCTACCTCAAAATGTAACAGCCGAGCATCTTCATTTTCCATCCCTGATTTCATTTAGTCGGAGCAAATGTTTTTGCTTTAATGCAATTGAAAAGAAAAGAACATTTAGGGGCAACATGCTAGATCCTTCCTAAAGCTTCATCTTCAAAAGCGGTGTTTGCATCTCTAAATAAATGACAATTCATTCTCTGTTTACTGTAGGTAAACAGAAAATGCATTGCCGAGCACTCGTTTTCAAAAGCTAATCAAGAATGTTAGGTCCCAACAGATTCATTTAATAGAAATATAATAGGCATTCCTGCTTGCTTTTCATCTTGTCTCCCTGTAAATGCTGAAATGAACAGCAAATTAACCTTGCGTTGGAACCGAGTTTCATCACAGCTGATGTCCCTCTCTCTCGACAGTAAACACCCCCCACACCGTGTCACTACTGACTCCTTCTGCAGGGGAGAGACTGTGGAGTTTGGCAAGAGAGTGGAGGAATACTTGAATCCTAAAGGGAGTGCTGTGTGTCAAATGGACTATCTTTCCTATCAGAAGAAAACCCAGCAACCACTGTCTGCTACAATAGAGCACACTTAAGACGTAGGCGGAAGGGTGGGATGGGGTGGGGTTTTCTCCAAGCTCCATGTATCAAGTTATATTTTTAACTTTACTAGCCATTCTCCAAGTGACTGCTTATAAACTACAATACAAAACAAGCTAATAAAGACAGGGCCATTCAAGCTCTAAAATCAGATATAAAAGATTTGCAAACAACTTGAGATCTTATAATTAATATGCAGTGATATCAGAATTAGCACTTAGAACTCTATACAGAAAAATATAATATTTCATAAATTATGTAATCATGAACAAACCCTCACAAAAACTGTTTTCACTGTGCTAAAGTAACATTCTAGACTTGTTGTAAGTATGTTATTCTTACAAGTAGTTCGCAGTTATTCTTGAAGGCAAGCCTTGGAGTTTCCTTAGCATAGTGCTGCTGGGGGTAAGTTTCAGCACGTCCATCTTCATCTCTAGCCTGAAGGGAAATATAACGGCCTATTTAGGGACTTACAAATAATGGAAGAAAAAAAAAAGCTAAAAGCATAACAGCTCAGATCATTAAACAAACGGGAATCCAGAAATAACAACATTATTAAGTAGTTTGTTTAAATACGCAGTATGCCTTTCAGATATCAGAATTTGAGTTTTGTTTTTCTTTGTATTGTTTAGTTTGAACACGCAAATTCATTGTGGTGTGGTAGTTCGAATGGCACAAAGCAAACCAAAAGTCAACTAATTTTGTTGGAGATCACCACCACTTGAGTGTTGCAGTGACTCAGTGACATGATTCGTGGCACAATTAGGATTAAACGACATACATACGTGTTTAAACTTTTTGGCATGCTTAAGCAATTTCTAGATAATGCACTTTTAAGAAATTCTAATAGCAAGGCCATAAGAAAAGCAATTTGCATATTATATTTTGAACTGCAATACTATTAGAGATAAATTGATTCCCCTCAATTTTTAAATAAAGATCCTAAAGGATCGATGATCTCATAAGAACAATGATTCTCCAATCAAATGCGGTTAAAAAATAGATTTAATTCAGAAGCTGCGTTAAAAGTTACTGGTCATTTTGATCTATGCTGTCAATTAAGAAAGCTGCCATTTCAATAGAGGCATTAACATTATCCATCAGCAACACCGATTTTGGTCCTCTCTGTCTAATCGCCATTGGTTTCTGGTCTGGAGCTGGCCTGAGGGAGAGGTGGGCGAAAGGGGTGTGTCCAAAGCACACTCATTAATCCATTCATCTGGTGACACTTGTACTCTGCAGCTCTCCCTCTCTCTCTCTCTCTCTCTCTCTCTCTCTCTCTCTCTCTCTCTCTCTCTCTCTCTCTCTCTCTCTCTCTCTCTCTCTCTCTCCTGGCCTCCTAAAATCCACAGCTGAGCTTGCCTCCCTCACATATGGCTTGCATATAATTATGCATATTCCATTTTGCACTGCATTCAAATGCTGAGCTCCTGGCCACCTGCCAGCTGATTTTTTAAAGCCCCCAATGAGGTAGGAAAAAGGAGAAAAACACAGGGAGAGCCGCGCAGGAAGCAGCAGGTAGCTCTGTCTGCTGTCTCTTTAGATAAAATGTATGTCTGGCACCAAGGGAACAACTGAGAACTACCTGTTGTGATATGTGGGGGGGGGGCATGAGCAGAGTCGGTGACACAGCAATGACAGTGCTTTCGTATTATTTCTCTGACAGAGCAAAATCTGACCTGACAAATGTCACTTAGAGCTCCCTAGCTATGCTGTAGACTGTCATTTAAAAAGGAATCCATACTCTGCACATTTGAAAATTGTGTCGCTTGTATTTAGTAAAGGTTTCTGCTGCTCGTCATGGGGGTTCTAGGTGGAACTGGGAAACGGATTGACAGGGTCAAGAGAGGCTGGTTTGCAACAAGGTCTGCGTGAAAAGGGATTGTTCTGTTTGGGTTTCATTTTTGAGATATCTTTTATGGCCATTTCTGTGATGCGGTGCCTTTTCATTATGCCGTTGTCCCCTACCAAAGCAGAATAAAATTAAAATGTGTTCTAGGCTAGGCTGTATATGACAGAGAAAGAAGGGAGCACTGTATCCTGTGGCTGAACAGTCAACTGAAGCCAATGACCCCCTTCCCACTATACTGAATCGGAACTCCTTTGCAATGACATCGTGGGGTGATGGAACTTAAGGGGACCCCACAGGTGGGGCAGCAGTGAGTACACAGACCAAGGGCAGTTGGAATAAGGCTCTGAGATGCCAATGGGTGACAGCAATATTAACTTCGTTATAGCAAAATCCTAAGCCACTGTACAAGGATCAGACCTCTTAAGGGAAGGAACCACATTCGTTTCAAGTGATGCTGCCATGTCCAGCGACTTACTTTTCACTGATGAAAAATAACACCTACCGGACAGTAACTAGACCCTATCATAAACAACTCAAGAAAATATCACTTCAAAATATGCCTGGCTTGGTGGTGGATTTATTATATTCCTGATACATTGTGATACATATGCTCAGAAGCAAAATTTGCATATCGTTTACAAGGGCTACTATTTACATATGTATGCCTATATTCAATATATATGTATCTTGTGTATAAATATTCATAAGGTGGAATATGTTTATTATGCATGTACTATGTATACACATTCATACACACCAGATGCCTGGGGATATTTTCAACATAAGTGGCAAAAATACATTCATTCCACTTACATGCAAGGTGCTCACATATTCTTTATGTGATGTGTCCCATTATCTAAGATTTGAGTGTGCTTTATATGTTTCATAGCAAGTCTTATCATCAGGAGGTTTTATTAAGTAGGAGCAGAAGATAATAGCGAAGACTGGGGACACTGGAAATAAAGAGAAGCCAGGAACTTTCTTTTCATTGAAGAACCATTGTATTCACCCCCTTATTTCCTCAGACACTCAGCCTCACTCCAGAGTCCAAGAAATCCTACCCTCCAGGGCCACTGAGACGGCTCAGTGGACAAGGCTTTTGCAGCTAAGCCTGAAGACCTGATTCAATCCCTGGCCCATATGGTAGGAGGAGAGACTGACCTCTGCACATGTGCCACAGCAAGGCACTGGTACGTGTGTATGCACACACACACACACACACACACACACACACACACACAAATAAATGAAAAAGAAAAGGAACAACCCATTGTTGAAGCGTTTCCTGTGCTTCCACCTATGGCATAGAATGGAGACCACACAAATCCAAGGAATGTAGAGCCCTCACCCTTATATCCACGTGCACGTGCGCCCCGACACACACCTCTCACCAAAGTGACCCCCTTGCGTTAGGAAGTTTTTAAATGAAATTTTAAATTATTCCTAGGTGGAATTAAGTGCATTCAACTAGGCAGTAGCCCTCTACCCTGGTTGCATATTAGAACCATCTTAAGTGGGTTATTTGCTGTTTGTTTACTAACATATTGGTTCCTGGTTCTTATCTTCTTTATTTTTCCACAAATCTAATTTAATTAGTCCAGTGTAGAGCTCAGAGTGTAGTTTTTTGCGAACTCATAGAAAACAAAACCAAACAATAAGGAACTCTCAGATGACAGCAATGTACAAGCAGAGCCAAGAACCACTGGGCTAATGAGGGCACCCCCAGGCATCGAAAGGACACCGAGCCACTGTGAAATGCTTGGCAGATGTGCCCCCCCCAGGTGGGTCTTACTCTAAAGGGCGAGGGTCGGCAAAATTTCATGATTGCCCATGTGTGTCTCTTGGTTTCTAATGAACAAATAGACTTGGAGGGCTTTTCTTTCACTTCCTGGCAATGCCTTCTTCCACCTCTCCAACCAAGACCAGTACTTACATTTTATTCTCTCTTAACTTGACTTCCATTTCCCCAACAAGGGTGTAGTTTGGAGGGCAAGGCAGGATTGGGTCTATCATTACTTTCTTCAACCATTGCCTGGTTAACACTCTCCAAAAATGCACTTTCTTACCATTCCTTGGCATCTTGGGGGCTGTCAGGTAGACTCTATGCAGCTCTACTGATCTTACATTTTAAGACAACTTAGAATTCCATATATTGGTGCCTGTGCCTTAATTCTATATCTGCTCTATTTGCGGGTGCATACAGAAAGAGCCAACTACCCCTGCAGATGAGGATGTGGACACTGAAATTATTCCCAAACAGCAGGCCATAGTAATAACACAGAACAGAAAGACTTGCAGTCAGTTTTATTATTGTTCATAAACTCGCTACAAACAATACACATCTAATGGCTGCTAGAAGTAGACCACCCTACTGTAGCTCTTGGCACCCACTGGTGCTGTAGCACAGTGTGAATGTCTGACTTTGTTCTCCAGTGACAAGTTCTGAAATGAAGGAATGTTGTCGAGACCCTGGATGATGGGCTAACTCACTCCATGTGTCTTATTCCCAACAGTTTTATTCTGACTAATGTGCTGAATATTTGTGCCACTAAAGGGAAACATAAATGAGAGACTATTTTGTTGCATTTTATTACAAATGTATAATAATAAATGTGACTGTCAGGCCAAAGGTACATTTTTGTCTTACTGTTCTAAGAAAGCTTCACATTTTGCTATAAAAGAAACAAAAATTAAAAAAAAACTTCATTAAAACTGTAAGATTTCTTCATAGGCTTGTGCTTTAAAAAAAGATTTGTTTTGGTTTTTAATTGTGTATATGTGTGTGTGCACATTCTCACAGTGAGGGCAGGTGCCTGCAGAGTCCAGAAGCCTCAGATGTCCCTGAAACTGGAATTAGAAGCAGCTGTGAACCCTCCTCTCAAACACATGCACACCCACACATGTACACACACACACACACACACACACACACACACACACACACACACACACACACACACACGATGCTGCAAATAAAACTCCGGTCATCTGCAAGAGCAGTGTGCTCTCTTAACTGCTGAGCCGTTCCCCAATAAGGTTTTGTTATGGAGCTCATGCTGGTTTCAAACCCAAGATCCTCCTGCCTCAGCCTTCCAAATCCTGGGATTACAGGTATGTGGCACCATGCTTGATCTCGCAATCTGTTTTCATGTTGTGCCTAGTATTTAAATAAACACTAGATGATGTAACTCTGGCTAATGACATGACTCTACTCCAAAACCTCTGCCTTAACTTTTTCATTCACTTTTCTATGAATCACTGCTTGTTTTATTTTGAATTTCCTCTGTAACAAATTTTAACTCTTCAAAGAAATCATTTCTTCCTATGGGAAAAAGTCTTGGTGCCATGTTCATACTTCAGCAAAATCATTTCTTTCTGCCTGTAGAATATTCTAGAAACAACTCCATTTGCCTACTTCAGACAAGAGGGATGTTTCTGCCTTTATGGAAAGGTTAATGTCATTGTCATGTAAGTAGAGAGACAATGAAGCTTTGGAATTATACCTCCCTGTGATGAATGGGAGCTTATACTTCAGTGTCACCGTGCTGTCATTTATTTTGGAAACAAGGAAAGGTTTTGCCTGGAG